TTTATGCCAGTAGAATTTACTAGAGTAGCAGTTAGTAATGCTAGTGAAGGAAACTGCAGGCTGGGTGTGAGAACAGGCCTTATGTCAGAGCACACCTCTTACCTCCCTCGATGCTTCTGCTCAAGTCATGTCTCATCTGCTGTGAGAGATCATTATCCTCCTGCCTGAACTAGCACCTCTGCACTGCCACTATCACTTCATTATTTGTCATCCAACACACCAGCCTGCATGTTTATGCAAATTTCATCTGTCTTTTGCTTTACTATCACCTCCTTCATTTAGGTTTATATGCCACCTACTAGCAGTAAGGCAATAGTTCTGCTTCCTCCCATGTGAGAAAGTGAAATCTTATGGTTAATAGCTTAAACATTTTTTTAAAAGGACTCTGTCCATTATAGCAAAATTGTATAAAGAAGTAGTGACCACCAAAACCTGCTCCCTGTCTGAATATGCCTCCTGACTGGAACTGGACTGTGAGTCAAGCCACCTAACAGGAACCTGAGAAAAGGGCGGTACTGCTGTTGAATTATCTTGTGGTCTAAGGAGAACGTATCCACAAGGAAAACCAAACCCAGCAGCTGTCCTGAAAATCTGCTCTGGCTGGGTTCGGGGCGAGGGAGGCCACAGCCCACAGATTCATTTGCTGAGGCCAGGTTTGCACACACTTTCCCTAGGCCAGGGTGGGAGAAGAATTTTTGGTTGTGTGGTGTAACCCCATGTTAGACGGAACACCCCCACCCTCCCTTACACAAACTTGCTCAGTTGTAAAACCCCTCCGCTCCAGGAAAGCAACATCCACATGTGAGAGGCAGCTGAGGAGGGATCATAAACCATCAAAGACCCCCAAAGCACCCCCAGACTCATTCTTGAGGCCTTGTACCAGACAACTGCACGTGATGCAAAGTGATGCAACCAATCCAGAGTCTATGGCAAGAGATGATGTAAAACTTCCCCGGCAGAGGAGGCACCTGGGTGTTCCAGTAGTCTGAATACATATTAACCCTTTGGACTCTGTGTTTTGTGGGACCCTCACCACCAAGAAGACCAGAAGAGGATCAGTGGGATGCTGCTTGGATCCTTAGTGTGGTGAGTTTTCCACCTAACTTATCTCTCTGTCGCTCTTTCGTTCCTCCCACCCCTTTCCTATTTTTTTCTTTCTCCCTCCCTCTTTCTCCCTCCCTCTTTCTCCCTCCCTCATGCTTACTGTTAAATAAAATCTGTACTATTGACTTTCAGCAGTTTCTTTTGCACCTTAATTTGGGAAGAGGCATCTCTGTAACAATAACCAGATCTTAACATCCCATGGTAAATAACTTACCTCTGGAAATACTTGATTTTTTAACAGAGAAACATTCATCAAAAGACTAAAAATATTATTTATCTTGAGATATTTTTGACTGATTTTTTTATCCTCTTTTTCCCAGTTCTGTTTCACTGATGATTGCAATGGTCAGGTAGACGACCTAACTTAAAATACTGCCACTAGTATCCAAACTCTGTCTTACATAGACCTTTGAACTACATTAAAAAACAGTGTTCACAATCCCAGTGGTCTCTTGAAGCTTTTTGGGCTAGATATCAAACCCTGCTATCATCATCATATTTCAACTAGTGATTGTAACCATGGGATATTTTATTTTAAATTATCGTGGAGTATATGCAGTCACTGTCACCTAGGAGATGCTGAATGAGTAGGAGTTTAGCCACAGATGATTTTGAAAAGTCATGTTTTCCAGGGTGAATCAGATGATCCTTTCTTTAGCTGAAAGGTATCCCTGTGACTAGTGAAAAATAAAACATTTAATATAATCTCTTCTGAAAATACAGCTGATAACAACTGTGATCACATCTGGTGTTTTAAGGAGTAGTAAAAGGAGTTGTGTATGAGCAGAAAAGAGAACAGTGAAAGATGGAGAAGTAGCACAAAGGCTAAAGAAATTACTGAAATCCCACTTACTTAACAACAGACTATGTAAAATTTATGTTTCCTATATATATTTATGTAAAGTATTACCATGAGTGCTGAGCTCATAAACCCACCAGTGAAAGAAAAGAAAGAAAAGTGCAAAAACCAGAAAGTCATCTACCTAGCCTAGATACAAACTCTAGGAAGTGATGGGAGGTATCCTTTAAAACAGGGGAAATTATAAATATTTAACAGGTCATACGAACAGTGTCTTGCTTTTCTAAACAGAATAAAAAGGTGGAGGAAAAAACAGAGCCTGTAAGCTTAGCTGTGTGCATCAACACAAATACTGCCCTGCAGACAAAGCTTTGTCTATCGCCCCTTAATTAAAGGAGCTGTACTAGGATTTTCTTAGAGCAAACAGAGAAACAAACAAACTATATGGGGAGAGAGAAAACAATAATGTCTCTGTTTCCTTCTTGAAATTTACTAGGGCAGATACCATTTTTACTGCAGTCACAGGCCTTTTCTATTTACAAATTCAAAGGCCAGTGCTAAACTTTAAAAGATGCTTGTGCCAGGCTCTGTTTCCAATTACCTGCACTGTGTGGTTTCCCAAATGGGGTTTCTGCTGAAACTATAATCAGTCTAAAGTAAGTCATATCCACAAATGGCAGCTTGGATTAACAGGCTGTGCTCCACGTCCCCAGCAGCCCCATCCTGTCTACAGAAAAACATTGTCTTTACCACCACAAGAGCGAGCCCAGCTAAACTTAGATACATTTGGCTTCAATTCAGATGTAGGCCAGCTACTCAGGAGAAAATTGACAAACAGATATAAGGAGAAACTATTAACAAGTATGCCTTCTGTAGCACCTCTTTTTGAGCTTGCCCTCTTCTCAAACTGCTTGCAGTGGTGAATGCAAGAGGCTACACAGGATGCTTGAGCACCCAGAATACACAGTTTGCTCTGTTTACTGGACCCCAGTATCTGTAAAGGATTTCCAGCACAGAGACATGCAAGTCTCCAGTGTTGAAAGGAAGAGGAAGCTGTATGCAGAAGGACTACTGGACTGGAAGCAGCTCTTTCCATAAGCAGGTTGTGCCCTTGAAAATGAAGCAAAGCTCTCCTGCTAGCTAGTTTGGATGAAGGCAGAGTTACCACACTGCCAAAAGGAACTGCTGAGTGTTTCTCCATACTTTGTTTTGAAATTTTTAACCAGGCATGTTGTGGCAATCACCAGCAGCTGGCAGAGGCAATAATTGACTGTTGTGAACTACACCACCAGAAATATTTAAAATGTGTTTAACGGGGATGGATAGTATATTTTAGATATCCTCACAACCTTAGATCCTGACAACAGCACATGGAAAGACACTAGCAAAGGTATCCCAGAAGCAGTTTTTCACAAAGCACAGATCAGCATTGTTCTCTTGACTTTGTGACTGGTGGCCTGTTACCAGTGGTGTCCCCTCAGGGGTCTATGCTGGGGTCCGTTCTGTTCAATATTTTTATTGATGACATGGATGAGGGGATTGAGTCTTTCATCAGTAAATTTGCAGACAACACTAAGCTGGAAGCATGTGTCAATCTGTTGGAAGGTAGGATGGCTCTGCAGAGACACCTGGAATGGTTGGATGGATGGGCAGAGTATAACAGGATGAAGTTTAATAAGTCCAAGTACCGAGTCCTGCATTTTGGCCACAATAACCCCCTGCACCATTAAAGTCTGGGGACAGTGTGGCTGGACAGTGCCCAGGCAGAAAGAGACCTGGGGGTATTGGTGACAGCAGCTGAACACGAGCCAGCAGTGTGCCCTGGTGGCCAAGAGGCCAATGGCATACTGGCCTGTATCAGGAATGGTGTGGCCAGCAGGAACAGGGAGGTCATTCTGCCCCTGTACTCAGCACTGGTGAGGCCACACCTCAAGTGCTGTGTCCAGTTCTGGCCCCTCAGTTTGGGAACGACCTTGAGACTCTTGAGCGCACCCAGAGGAGGGCAGTGAGGCTGGTGAGGGGCTTGGAACACAAACCCTGTGAGGAACGGCTGCAGGATCTGGGGTTGTTTAGCCTGGAGAAAAGGAGACTCAGAGGTGACCATATCAATCTCTACAAGTCCCTGAAGGATGGTTGTAGTCAGGTGGGGTTGGTCTCTTTCACCAGGCAGCAACTGACAGAACCAGAAGTCACAGTCTCAAGCTGTGTCAAGGAAAATATAGGTTGGATATTAGGAAGAAGTTTTTTACCGAAAGAGTGATAAAGTACTGGAATGGTCTGCCCAGGGAGGTGGTGGAGTCACCATTGCTGGATGTGTTTAGAAAAAGACTGGATGTGGCACTGGGTGCCACGGTTTAGTTGAGGTGTCAGGGAACAGTTGGACTTGATGATCTTGAAGGTCCCTTCCAACCTTGTGATTCTGAGTATCCAGATTTGCAGCCCTTGACAAAACCTATGAAATCTATAGAAAAAGCAGCCCTTTCCAGGGAATGTGTTTGGTTGGTTCATTTCTCCCTTGTATTAAGGATTTATTAAACTTCTTCCTTTTTTTTTTTCTTTTCTTTTCTGACAGAATTCTAAATTCTTTGAAGTTTACAAAACGAAACACTTCAACGCTATAATGAGATTTTACTCTCTTAGGATTTCAGAAGAGAAAAAAAGGAAGATCTCATCTGTTTTAATGCACACAAGGGACTTCTGACATAACTTTTGAGAGTTAAGATAAAACATAATCTCACCCAAAATCTTAAAAATTTGAAGTGAAAAATTTGAAAATTGATTTGTAACCTTAATTATGGGCAGATGGCAAGGCACTGAACATTATTTCAGATAAAGTCTTTCAAAAAAGACTGTGAGGAAGAACATCACACTTCTCTCAAGACTACATGTCCTTCCTGATATAAACTACAGGGACAAGAGATGAAGGTAGAGGAACAGGCACAGCAGAGGTATTACCATTTCCAATCTGTTTGTGTTTTTACTCACCTGGTGCCTCCACTGCAGATATCTGTGCATCTACAGAAAGGCAAGCATCCCACTGCCTTTTCAGAGCTCAGGAATAATGCTGCAAAAGGCCACAAACAGGGACAAAAGTAGGAACAGTTTCTCTCCTTTTTATTCTGGTCAGGTTCACAGGAAGAAAATATTCTGTTCACATGGAGTAAAATGTTGAAACAGTAAAATGCATTTCACAGTATTAGTCAATATTCCCAAAGTCCTTTACTGATGAAAAAAACACAAACTTCTTTCCAATCCCTAATGGGTTGAATTACCTTTGTCTCCCTCCCCACACCCACTTTTCTCTTTGGAGAGAACTGAAGCTTTAACAGCGTTTCCCCAGTAATACATGGAATTTTACGGCAGAAAAACTAGGTCTTCTTGATGTCTCTACTTCCTAATGCAAGAGCAGCAGGAACTAATCATTCATTGTCCATAGAATTATCTGTCTTTATTCAACTATGTGCAAGCATATGAGTCAACATTAACAGGGAACTGTTTTCCTAGGTAATCTGCACCTGTGATTTCTTCTAAGAATGCTTCACTCAAGCCCCTTTTTGCTCCCATGTTCTCTCCCCACCTGCTGCCATCCGCCACAGCACAGCAGTGCAGAATCCCTGTGCAGCACTGAGGAAGATGAAGTGCTGCAGTCACTCAGCTGGCTCCTTTGCCTTTTTTAGTGCTCCCAGAGAGCTGGGAGAGTTCAAAGAAAGTGAACCTATTGCCTGAATCCCTTCACATTTAAACTGTGCAGAGGAAGCCTTGGGTCTGATGAGGAGACCTACACTCCAGCTGTTTCAAATACAGTAGCAGCATCAAGGATAGCCACTGCAAATCCTGATTTTTTTACTGCCCCTTCAAAAATAACTTTTACAAGTTCTTTTTTACCACATATAAGCTGAGCTTTTTTCTTGGCTCTTGGGAATGAAGGGAAATCTTGTAATTTGAGTAAGAGGAAGCCTGGAAGTGTGCTCTCCCCAGAGACCTACAAAGGAATAACATCTGAGCCGCTGTGCCTCTCTTGTTTTTGCGAGAGGGAATATACACCTTTGCTCAGGGAATATACAGTTTTGCTCCCTTCTGCAGGCACTGAGCCAAGCAGTCTGGTCAGGAAGGCAGTGCGAGCAGGAACAAATTCTGCTCCCCATGGCCTACCAGTTGTTGCTTACAAGAGAGTATGAGGTGAGCAGAGACTTCCTCTTCTTGTCTGGAGGCACAATGGCCCTAGCTAGCCTGGGATAAAAACATGTTATAGGCATATGTAGTGACAGGTACTCTGGCACACACCTATACACCAACAACTTGCTCATAAAGTCTGGTTTAGCAATGACAGCAGGTATGATGAGTTAAATGACAGGCTGGGCTCCTTCCCATTAGTGTGTCAGCCAGCTGAGTAAGAGCCAGCATTGACCAGGCTTGTCAAACATTCCATATGCACTACCATCATACCTGTATACTCCAACTCTGTCAATGGCAAACCAGATTTGGACACAGTCAGAATCTACACTTAAATAACACTAGATTACTTGAAGAAGCACTTAAGAAGGAAATATGAAGGGAGCTAATTAATTAGGGTGTTTCAATTTTTCTTTCAGGAAGTATTTTGAAATACACCATTTGTTTTAGAATTGGGTGATAGAGTACTGCACCTCCAAGGTGTGTTACTGAATCACACAGTCAGAATCACCATTTGCTTTCAGCAGATACACGGGAGCAGAGAACTTCAGTAGGAATGTAAAGCAAAGAGGTTAATCTTCTTTTAATTAGCCCATGGAATTTCTCACACCATGCTGCTCCAAACCCAGGAACTCTCTCATGGACCTGCATGATTTTGCATTTTTCTAATAGTTTAAAATGTATTTTTAAGATGACTCTCTGCCTATCTAGGACTTAATTATGATCTAAAAAGAGACTGGCAATGATGGAAAAACTTTATTTGCCTTAGCTGCATTCACTAAAGTTATGTTTAATCTCAGGTTTTATTTCTCTAGTTCTAACATTCTACATTTTTCTTTAACTAGAAAAATATAGGAGAGACAAATGATCAATCATTGAGGATGATAGATCCTGTACAGAATAGAAAAAAAATCCTACAAATCTTCTACTGTCAAACTCTGCAATGATTTTTCACATGTGCAACGAACTGCAAATCAGTGGGGTCAGGGAACAGAATTGGATGAGACATGGAGATGGGGGTTGTGATGACACAGGAAAAAAGAACCACCTTCATCAGTAATGCTAACAAGTTGTCAGTAAATTAGTCCCTGATCACTGAGATAATGGTATCTAAATGATGCAGGAATTAACTTTATTCTGCCACGGTTTGTGCTCTTACTTTAGTCCTCAAAGACCTCCTAGCTGGTCGATACTTTAATCCTGCAGTTCCTTTTTCCTGTAGCTGCAGTTCTGAGGTGACTTAAAGCTCAGGTCAGCTTAACAAAAGGTGTCAAACTCTTGCCTTAAGTCTGCATTATGACTAATTTAATTGCTCACAACTTTCTCTATTTCCTTAGGAAGTGAACTGCTCATGGTTCCATTTTGCCAAAAAACAGATGCATTAAGTCTTCCACACTTCATCTAAAAATTTAGGGCTATATTAAGGGAAAAAATATCAGGCTGTGGAAGGAAAGTTTGCCTCCTGAGGAAAGGAGTTTCAGTGATTTGCAATAGGTAATATTTCCAAATTTCCAAATTCACAGACTCCCTGTGTCACATATTGAAATGTTTGAGTAGAGAGACAAATATGTACAACATCTAAAGGGAAAAAAAATGATAATGAGAAAGGTAAAAAAAGAGAAGACTGCATAACAAAAGAAAAAAAAAGGCAAAAAAAAAGAAATTTAAAAATAAAAGGAGGATAAAAAGTCATCACCTGCAAGACTCTCCATATATAAGCTGCTCAGCGGGGAATTTGAGAACTGGCACTGCCAGCACAGGGAGCACAGCAATGAAGGGCATGGCACAGGACAGCCAGGCACGTATCATTTTCTCTCTCCTTCCCAAGGACCCTGCATCAGGACAGCTGTCATTCAGAGGATGCTCATTCAGCTCCTTCTGGTCACTGCTCACCGCCAGTGACCTGCCAGGCAGGTGTCACTGCTGCCAGGCACAGTCATGCTCCTCTCCCTCTGCCTTAGCTTGCTCACCAGCAGCTGCTCCAGTTGGGATTTATGAGATCCTCTTCACATTCACTCTAAGAAGAAGCCTGCAGGTACTGCCACATTTATTGCTTCCCAGCCTTCTTTTGGCCACATGCTGTTCTTTAGCCCAGGACTTCTTTCTTCTCTTGACAGCTGCCTTGACAATGCAATCCTGAAACAGGAATGGGGTTTGTTTCTAGGCATAGTCCCAGCACTAACACCTACTCGAGCTTCCTTTGTCCCCAGCCATGATAGGTACATCTGTCCATAGGCTGTAAACTCATGTTTGATGACATGTTGTTCACTTGATAATTACTCAGTATGACATGGGAGTTCACAGCTATATGTGACTTCCCTGTTTGCACAGTCTAGCAACTGAAGATTTGTCTTTCCAGCAAGACTTCTCTGCCTTCAGGGGAATACAGGCCAACACCATCTGCTTGCAGATGTTTTTATATGAAAAATTATTGTGAATTTTGAATATACAGACACAAGAGATGCATTATACCTGGAAATAGGTAACAACAGGGGATTTTGTATTCCCAGATTGAGAGGTCTTTGAAACCCAAATCTTTTGTGCTACACCTGTTCGGTTTACCACTTCAGAACTGGAAAATTAACCATGGCACAAGTTATTGGACCAAGTCACATAATTTACCAGACTACACCTGAAGCTTGAGCCTGGAGCCTAAGCATCCTGAGAGATGTAGGTGCAAAATGTTCAGTGAATCAAGCAGGAGTATAGGCTTGAGATAAACTTCATTGCCATGAAACTTCCCAATGTGTAGTTCACAACACAGAGAAAAATTAAGAGCTAAAAATTTATATTCTTGTGAAGAAAAAAAAACCCAAAACACATTCAAATGACTTACTGCTTGAGTCTTATTCAATCAGAGCTTTTATTTTTCTTTTCCAAAGGAAGTCCCCAATGATTTTATAACAGACTCAAAACTCTGGGGCTGAATGGAAAAAAAAAAAAAAAAGGTAATCTAAGCTGTTTGGTTGAGCTATTCCAGATTTACCCTGGTTTAATCAGCATCAGAATTTAGCCCTTCTTAAGAAAATGTAAGAAAGCCTGCATATTGCAAAAGGTAAGGAAATAAGAGAAATTACAGCAAGTCCAATCCCATGTAGTCTATGAATACTGAAGTTTTCAAACAGGTCATTTGGCCTCATGTCAAGCAAAGTATCTGATGAGAAAATAAGAAGGAGACAAAGTAGGGAATTTAAATTGTATTTGATTCTGCTTTTACTTATGCTGCTGTTAATATACACCAGACAAAAATCTGACATGTGGGACATAATACAGGAGAGTATCCTGGAAAAACCTACATGTAACTTCAATAAATGAATAATGCACTTTAACATACTAACAACAACAACAACAAAAAAAGGAAATAAAAGTTGAGTGGAGTATATGCTAATCTGCATTTAGGAAAATGCTTTCGCTGCAAAATATTTTAAGTTCCAAACACCCAGGGCACTGTAAAATGAAAATATTCCTTTTTTTGCTTAGCCTTAGAAACATTTCCTAAATATTTACCTGTCTCATCATTTGCATAATTTTGTCTTTGCTTTATAAGAAAAAATATAATACCACTTACTGATTGGATGGATAACAAAGAAAAAACAACAATTACCCAGAAATCCCTAATGGGGAGCATAAGCTTTTTTAAAGTATTTATTTCATTGCAACATAAATTGGGAGTACATAAAAAGCTTTGCCTATATATGCTTCAAAAATGAAACTATTAATACATCAGTTACACATATAATTCACCTGAACTGTGAACAGCACCTAAAGAATTTGCATTAATCTGTTGAAAGTGGCAGCATCGACACTGTTATTTCATGATTTCAGATTTGTCAAGGGTTTATCCACTACGACTTGAAAACAAAGCAAGAGACTCCTGCAAAAGGTAGCTTAAACACCGTGGTGATTTGAGAAGCATTGCAGGTGTAAAATGGTAATAAGTAGCAATATAATTGGTAAAAACCTAACCTGTTCAAGAAACAGTTGAAAAAAAACTGGCCCTATAGTCATCACTGTCTCAAGTACCAACTGTGATTCCCTTCCCTGCTCTTTGTTTCAATTGATATACAGTAGGTACTTTTGACTCTGAATTCATCTCTTCTGTCCTATCCCTCACTCCCATTTCTTTCCTTTGAGTAATTCATGAAAGTTAGTCTCCAAAAAAGCATGCTGTTGCAGTTTAACCCCAGCCAGCAGCTCAGCCCCCCACAGCCCACACTCCACACCCCACACTCACCCCTCCCAGTGATTTGGGGGAAGAGAATCAGAAGGGGGAAAGTGAGAAAACTCATGGGTTGAAATAAAGACAGTTTAATAACCAAAGCAAAAGCAGCACCTGCAAGCAAAGCAGAACAAGGAATTTATACACTGCTTCTCATGGGCAGGTAGGTGATCAGCCATCCCCAGGGAAGCAGTGCTCCAACACACATAGGACTTAGGAAGACAAACTCCATCACTCCAAATGTCCTCCCTTCCTTCTTTTTTTTCCCCAACTTGATATGCTGAGCATGACAACAAATGGTCTGCAATACCCCTGTGGTCAGTTGGGGTCAGCTGTCCCAGATGTGTCCCCTCCAAAGCCCTTGTGCACCACCAGCCTCCTCGCTGGTGGGGTGGGGTGAGGAGCAGAAAAGGCTTGGGCTGTGTGTGAGCATTGCTTAGCAACAATGAAAGCATCTTATCATCACTGTTTTCAGCACAAATCCAAAATACAGCCCCATACCAGCTACTGTGAAGAAAATTAACTTGATCTTAGCCAAAACCAGCACTTCTGCTGATTCCTAATACCAGTGGGTTCATTCCAGCAGCTCTCAACATTCAGTAGGCCAAACCAAATGAAAAGTGTGTCATCACATACTCTGAGCACACAATTTCACTGAGCTTGTGTGTCAGTCTCTGCTTTTAGTAGCAGTAATATAGAGTCAGAATAATTCCAGCAATGTAGTAAATGCATGGAACTATTACAAACTTGCACTACATTATCTCAGAGTAGGAGCTGAGGCAGGAAAGAGGTAAAAACATACTCTGCTACAATACTACTCAGACTTATACTATTGGAAATAGCCAAACAGGGCTGTTCTGCTAAACCAGTGCAAATCCAGTTTGCAAAGTAACAGCAGAAAAAAGAAAAATTAATACCACGTTTTTTTACTACAACTGCTCAACAGTACTACTGTTTACTCTTCTTGTGTTTTCTTAAGTTTCTCAGGAGCAATGCTACTGGAAAAAACCAAAAAGCCCAAAGATAGGATTCTGTCTAGATCTGGATTCATTCCAGCAGAAAACATATGTATCAGTCCAGACACTGAGCACCAGCACCACTGTTAAGCTTTGTGATAATGAAAGTTAACAGATTTATGGAGCAGTCAGTGGAATACATGATGTAAATCAGGAAAAGCAATAGCCACTCATGAAAAGTGGTTACTGGGGTACAGCACTCTGAGAGCCGATCAAACAGCACAGGAGAGGTATGGCTTTCATGTGAGTAATTTATTCTTTTATCATTTTAAATTTAACCAGGTATTTACTTACAAAGAAACTTTCTGTGGATATAATTTACATCAGCAACTGCACATTTTTAGCCATTACTAGGGTATGACTAACATCCTCCCCATGTTGCTTAACAGTGCCAGTTTTGATCAAATGGGATTATTCTTTTGCCAATTACTTTTTTGACTTAGTTTCAAGTGTAAACAGAATCTGTACACATGCTTTTGCTGCAATTAAGATTTCTAGTTTACAGAACAAGTTAGCAGATAGAAACAGTAAAGTTTCATTTGTTAATAGCAGTTCTTTATTTAAATTGGGATTTAGTTTGAGGTTCAATGAAGGCTTTTGGCATTTCATTATTAGGTACAGCAATGCCTCTTTACAAAAGTGGCACCCCTGAGAAGAACCCAAATTACCTGTTGGCTGCCCAGTATGTTTGGATGCCCAGTACAGTGCATGGACGAGCTCATCTAAGACTGGTAACCCAAAACACAGAGCCTATTTGCAAAAGCTTTCCAAAGAAAACATGACTGATTGTAGCAGCTTGTACTAAATCTATGTTGAATAGATAGGTGGGGCCTTCAATCTGTTCAGAACTCAATGTACAGGAGCCTATGTGTGTAAGCTTTCGGAGGATTTGCATGAAGCTTCCTGAGGAAGAGCCAGAGGTGGTGGTCCCAATGTACTCTCAAACAGCCATCGAGATCTGAGAACATACGCACACACACACACCAACTGCAAGGCCCCAGTTCAGTCCTTACTCAGCTTACTGGAATTCAAATTCTCTTATGGGAATCCTAAATTCTCTAGCAGATGACCTTGAAAACAGGAATAGTCTAGGGAGGAAAAATTACTACCTGAAAAATTAGGGCAACTATCTCCTGTGTGTCCCTTTAAAATGGGAAGACTGTAAGATTCACGGGGATGAAAGACAGCAGGGCAGACAGACTGTGTCTCTCTAGCTAGTCTCAGATCAGCCAGTGAGGATGACTACCTTCATGACTGCCTGGACCAGTCCCAGTAGTTCCTTTAGCCCATTGACAACCAGAGGGTGGGAGACGTGGACTGAATGCTTGCAGGCTAAGAAAGAACACACAGGTCTCCATGTTCTATGCAAATATGTTCACTTCAGGCTACTCTAGAGAAAATGGCTGTTTTAAAAGCAAAACACATGCAAACACAACTTGAGGGTGGCCTGGCCTTTTGGTTTGTACCTAAAATAAACCCTATTACATCAGTGGTTTCTGGATATCCCACTTGGTAGGTAGATGTGGAACTGCTCTGAGCAGCTCCAAATGGGTGGAGGGGAACTGCTCAGCAGCTCCCCATGTCAAAGACATAGTTGTTGCTAGGTTTAAGTAAAACTGTAGGGTTCTGAAATGACAGTCTTTAAATGCCTGAAGACTACCTAAATTATGGTTCTAGTACCCAAGTTTTGGGGCAGGGAGGGGGTTTCTTTGTGAAGATAGAACTGGGGGAGAAAACAATTCACAGCAAACATGCCTCAGGCCTTCCAGGGAGGAAACAGAGGCCACAGAGTAGGAAATCTGGCTAGAAACATGCCTCTGTTGTTAATCATCAGGCTACGACTACGCAGTGTGCAAAGGAAACAGGTTTGATAGACAGCTACTAATGAAGCCCAGACTCTCCCCACTAACACTGTATAAACAGTGAAAGCAGGTAAGCACTTGATTCAACTTTTTTAAAAAATAGGAGCTAGCAAAAACACAAACCACTGCAGGTTTTTCAAACGCTTATTACTGTAGAAATGTATTTCTTCATAGTGTACAGCAATAAATATTGGAAGAAAGGATATGGTTCATTCTATTCCAAAAGTTTGTGGATTATTGTCACATCTTAAACCATGGAAACTTCCCAAAACACATTTAGAAGCATTTTCATGGCACTAGCAGAATGAAAATGCTTGATTAATAGGAATGCAAAACATGGTTTGATACCTCACTACACTGTAGCATAAGAACTATACTACATAAGTCTTTGAACTATGAAATTGCCTTGTATTGCAAGATAAAACAGACATTTCCTTGTGTTCCTGGTGATGCTACTATTTCAAAATCTGGCCTAGCACTTACATCTCTAGTTTAAGTATGCACCTAAGCCTTGCATTACACAGCTTGAAATACTTTCTACAGTTAACATAAAAATTATGCAGAAAGCAAACATGTAATTTTTCTTTCCTGCTCAAGCTACAGTGCTGTAATTTAATCTAGAGTCAATATTTCCAAGGATTCTCATCTGAGAATTAAATCAAATACTCTGTGAAGGATGTTAAATTCCACTGCACCAGCCTGTACTGAGGCTAAGATAAATGTCACAATCCACAGGCCTACAGCTCCTGCCAGCTGATGCTTTAATTAGCTCACTAGGGAACAGGCTCACTTGGCTAAGAACTTCTAGGACTGGACCACTGTTTTCTACAGATTGACTAACCAGATCAGCTGCATTAAAACCCTGCACAAAAACAATGAGAAGAGAAAAAAATACCCAAATAAAGAGAAGAAAAGAAGCATCTATTAAGTTCACTATTCTGTTTTGTACAGATGGTGTCTCATAGGACAGAGCCTGCTGCCTTCCTTTGGAACTAACAATTATGTGTAAGAATGCTAAAGTCCTGTTTAACAAAAACATCTTAATAAAACATAAAAAGATCTGCTTTTTTGATGCAAGGTCCCTATGTCTTTCTAAAATATGAATCTATACTAGAACTTTGAGTATAAAGAATTCTCTTCTACAGTCCATGCGAGTTCCTTGCTGAATATACAGCAATGTACCAGCAAAAACACAGGTTATTTTTTCAGAAAAGGTTTCTCAGTGATTTACCATAAAGCTAAAACATTTGCCTTGCCTACTGATTTTTTTAAAAAATAAAATATATAAAATAAATGCATGTGCCCTTTTCAATATAGTCTGTCTGTGTAGACATTTCAGGTTTTCCAATTCTGAGTAACGTGACAAAAAGTGTGCTCCAACTTTCCACAGGCAGGAAGTTTTTTTTGTATGGTTTTGACTCATTTGGACGCTGCCCCACAAACAGCACTCTTGGGCAGTTTAGAATCACAATGACAGCGTACGCCAACAGCACGTACTGCAATTAACAAAGAGTTATTGATTACAGCAATCATTAGTTCAAAATAAATAAAGCAGTCTCTCAATCAAAAGACAGAGAAGTAACATCATGCTAGTGCACAATATAATCAATATGTGTAGCACATTCCTATTTTCCATGTCCCCTATTGATGGTCTTGAAAATAAGAGGGAAAGGCCTTTTGCCACAGGTTGGTTTAGGTTAACCTTCCTTGACCTGCAGTTAATTAAAGAGCATATGAAGTACAAACTTCTTCCCCAGCTCTAGTGCCATACATGGTCATGTCAATTGGTTGCAATCTGAAGAGCTTCAGTTCATTTTTAATTCAAAATCTCTGATCAAGAAAAGTAATAATAGAGTATCTTTTCATAGAGAAACCATTGCCCTTTTCAATTAAAGAACATATCAACATTTCATACCTAGCATAAAATGCCACATTTTAGAAAGGTAACTTGACTTTTTTTTTCTTTTTCTTTGCATTCCAAGTAAAACATGTGGCTCACATTTGTGTTACTTAAAACATTAAATTTGGTATCTGTTAAATCATCTGTGGTTGAAATTCCTGGGACTAACACAGTGCCACAGCTTCATTAAAGCATCTATTGCACCAGAAATGAAAGGCTGTGAAGGAGATGTTCTTCCTATACTTTTTAAACACAGGAAATAGTTGGTTTAACATGAAAACAAATACAGCTAAACTATGTTGCTAGCAATGTTTATCACTCAGTATCATTCCAGAGGGGAAAAACATCACAAATGACAGAAAAGTCTCCAGCCCAGATTGCAACTATGTGTAAACACACAACCAACACCAGCATCCCATTATGACACTGTTGTCCAGAATATTTTGGAAATCCAGGTTTAAAAATGTTTTTCTCAGATTGGGGATTGGCACAAACATAATCTAGAGATTATCCTTTATAGCAGCTTTTACTTTTGTGTGCTTGGCTTTTCACACAAAGCCCAGCAAACATGAGAAGAGTTACAACTGAGTTAAAACCAGCTCAACATCTTGTGAGCAGAGAGGAGGAAAGCAGAAGTCCCTTTTCTCTGCAGACAAAACAGAGAGGGTCTCCTCTGTAGATGGCAGTTTGTGGATCTGCAATGCAACTCCCCTCTCAGGAAGCCAGAGCCAGGCTAGCCACCTCACAGTGGGAGGGAGCCCTCCTGGTCCCCTGTTTTGTCCACCCTCTCAGGCAGGGTGAGCACGAAGGGTAGGAGGACACCCTTGGCATCCAAGGGAGCTTTAAGAAGCTCCCCATCAAAGGTGCCCTTGAGCCCACCATCTGCTTCCACCTCACCGTCCTGGGCTAGGCTGAATCGAAGGGTGCCGGTCCGGTTGACGCAGTAGATGGTGTTGCCCAAGGGGGCACAGCGGAAGGGCTGGATGGGGCCACCGCTGGGCCGCAGGCTGGCGCACTGGCTCCAGCACTTGGCCACTGTGTTGTACCGGAAAACTTCAACGCCACCGCTCGTCCCGCCGCCTGGGCCCTGCTCCCCACCACGGCCACTGCTCACATCAAAGCGGTAGATGAAGCTCTTGAAGGCCACCATATCAGCAGACCGTCGGCGGCTGCTGTTGTAAGGGCACTCCTGCCACTCGTCACGCTTGGGGTCATATTTGAGCAGGCGGTAGAAGAGGGAGCCTCCTGACACATAGATCTCCCCGTTGCAAGTGGTGGCCTCGTGAGCCACAGCAAAGGCACCCTTGGGCAGAGGTGCCACAGGGCTCCAGCGGTCGGCCCGCGGGTCATACCTTTCCACAGTGAAGAGGCACTCACCCCCCACAGCATAGAGGTAACCATCCAGGGCCAGCAGCTTGAGCTGCGAGCGGGGCTGAGCCAGCGGCCGCACCTGGCTCCAGGTGTCAGTCAGGGGGTTGTAGCAGAAGACCTTGTCAGAAAGGCGGGCCCTGGGCTCACTGCCCAGCGGTCCCGTCACAATGCCCCCCGCAAGGAAGAGGTAGTTGTGGAGGACACACATGGCACAGCCCTTGGCATTGGCCTCCTCGGGCAGGCGCGTCAGCACCCTCCACTCACCGCTGCTCTCCTGGTAGTAGTGAATGAGGGAGCCACTCTCCTCCAGCGACACCACGGAGGAGGGACTCTGTGGCCGACTGCTCTCGCGGCTCTGTGGCCGGCTGCCACCACCCGGCCGCTCGAAGGCGTCGCTGACCTCGGCCACCAGCAAGCAGGGACGGCCGGCATCCATGCGCTGCTGCAGGATGAGGTCCCGCTCAGCGCCACTGAGGCGGCCGTAAACGCTGGGCTCCCGCAGCACCTCCAGGTAATGGTCGCTCATGAAGCGATAGGCAGCCTCCCGCAGCTCCGCCAGCCGCTGCTTCTTGGCCAGGCAGAGCAGCTGGTAGCAGTTGCCGAGGCAGAGCTGGGCGCGCATGGCCTCGGCGGCACAGTGCAGGGCGCAGGGCATCTGCAGGACGCGGGCACCGCTCACCACCTCGGCCAGGTTGTCGTGCCGCACCTCGCCCATGCGGGCCGTGTACACGTAGTCGATGAGCAGCCGCAGCGCCCCGTAGCTCACCCCCTTCACCCGCAGGACGTCCCGAGAGGCGCGGGCACGAAAGTAGTCACTCTTGGCCGCCAGCACAGACTTGTGCGCCCGAATACGGCGGCCCGACACCTCGATCACTAGGTCGGGCTCCTCCGCCGGTCGGTCCCGTGGTCCCACCACCTCCTCATCCTCCTCCTCCGGCTGGCGGACGGCGTTGTTGATCTCCCACTGGCTCTGCACCACTCGGCCGCCGGCCGCGGGCGGCTGCGGCTCGGCAGCGGCGGCGCTGAAGCAGAGGGAGGAGCTGAAGCCGCAGGGGGTGGCCGGCGTGGGCGGCGGCGGCGCGGGGGGAGCGCCGTTCGCAGCCCCGCTCTCCTCCTCCTCCGGGGCCGCGCCGCTGCCCTCCATGGAGCCGCGCTACCTGCGCCGGCGCCGCGCCTGGTCCGTGCGGAGCGCTGCCGGCGCGGCCATCACCTGCGGGACGGACCAACAGCGCTCAGCATCTGCGCCCTCCTCCGCTGCCCCGCGGCCTCTTTCCCCCCCGCCCCCCTGGATTAGGATTCGGGGCCGCCGCTCTCGCAGGCGGGACCGTCTCTGGCTTCCGGGGCTAAACCGCAGCTTCTCCTTTCCCTGGGGGATCCACCCTGCGGCTCGGCCGCCTCCCGCGGCTAACTGCGCTAGCTGAGCCCCTGAAAACCTGAGCTCTTTTGGTGGGACGGGGGATCGCCCCGATGAGCACCTCAACAGCCTGAAAAGCAATTCTGGTTTTCCCGTTTCTCTGCAGAAATTTTAAGCAATCTGCAGGCACTGCAATCCTTCTCAAGATAACTGGTCCCCTCTACACTGCACCGGGTGATGAGCAAAAATCTCCTTTAACAGCAGATACTTAGGAGTACTGTCAAAATGTATTCACCTTGTGCAACTGTTTCAGTGGAAGGCTGAGGCTGCAGTCTATTCTGGAAGGCGATTCCCCCCTAGCCAAATTTAACTTTGCATGACCTTCAGGAAGTTCTCTTCACATCAGTGTTCCTCATATGCAATCCCCCTGTTTAAGAGAAAAAGATTATTATTTTTAAAATCGATAGATTCTCTGTTTAGTTAGAAGTTTGGGAGCGTTAGTTATGTCTCCTTTAATAATGTATCTAGAATATCTTAAAGACACTGTAAGTATGCTAACAATCCTATGTGTTTACAAAACACATCAAAGTACTTTTTCTGTGCTTGGGACAAGAGCAATCTCACATTTGTGTAGCAGCATATGTAGCTGTAAAGCATTAGCAAGGTGTTAATCAGACTTCATAAAGACTGCTTCGTGTCTTTATTCAAAGATTCTGTTAATAAAAAGTAGAAGCAAGGAAAAAAATCACAATAGATAATTAGAACATGAAGTATCTTGTGGGAAAAGGCAGGATACAGGGAGGACACAGCTGTAAGTAGGGTAGTCCCTGTCATCACAATCACCACCCAGCTGTGCCTTCATTTCACAAATATAGTTTTTAGAATTTAATGAAGTGCCATTTCTTTGCCTCATGTTTGTTTATGAATTTCCCAGACTTGGAACCAAGCATCAAAACTTGGTTTAAGTTTTGATGAGTGATGCATAAAAATTGTCTGAATGTACTTAACATAATTTAATAAGTATCTGCAGTCCTGATTCTATTTTAAGGAGGTTATTAATTTCCATTAAAATCCCCTTTGTCAGTTTTTTCACAGTCCTCAAGGAACACTCATTTCTATGTAAAATATGGATTGTGGCTTCCTTTTAACAGACATGATTCATTTACCCTGTTAAATTAGCATTAGGGAGATTTAACTTTTTAATTTTTTTTTTTTTTTTTTTTTACTGAAAGCATGATTGGTAAATGACATTGTCTGAAAATCCCTGACACAGACAGGAAATCTAGAAGCCCACACTTGCAATGCAAACTTTACTTAAATGGTAATATCAGTCTTCCCGCATGGCGATTTATTTTGTGTACTTGCTCAGTAAAGGGCTTTCTACTACATCTGATCACATTAAGTTAGACTGAATCAATGCTAAGGCTTCATTTTTGGGTATTGGAGACTTTCAGACCACAACAACAGCATTTTAAAACTTATTAGAATTAGTAGATTTCACCAAGTTTGTATTCCTCATCTGAGTGTCTAAAAACCTGGGACTTAGGAACTTTCTCTGGCTGTATGAACGTTGGCTAGCTTTAGTGGCAGACTTCCTGCTGTCCAAACCCAAATGCTGTAGAGGTCAAGCTTTACTGAGTTTTCTCAGTACAGTCTTAACTAGACAAAAAGATCTGCAGTGATCTGTGCACACTCAGTGTGTCTATAGAAGATGTACTGGGCAGAATCCCTATTGATGTGATTATGTTTTTCATCAAGTCTTAACAGTACACAGAGCAACTACTGCAACTAAGAATACTCTGGCCATTCCTGACACACCCCACTTCTAACACCACTTCTACTTAGGTACCTACAAGAAGGATTGAGTAGCTTCACACAGTTTCAAGCTATTGGTCATGGCTTGATTTTGCAAGTCAAACTATAAAGGAAGAATGAAAGAAAATGCTATCAAAAATTAGAAGTATGGGTGATTAAATGTGAAAAGTCAAAACCAGTAACTCTAATACCAGTAGTGGCATTCCCCGCCTCACACAGCCCCCTGAATTATCAGGCTAGCCCAGAGATCCAAGGCTTTGAGGGGAGGAATATCAGGAGATGGCAAAGATTTCCAAAAGAGGCTCTTACCCCGGAATAAGTTGGTTCAGCTCTCTTTATTCTGTGATGTCCTAGGGGAGAGCGGGGCAAAAGAGGACGAACAGGAAATGTCAGGGGTCTATATAGGCTTTGGACAGGGTGGGCTCCTCTGGCTCTCTGCCAACCCCACTGGGGCAGGAAGGAGGGGTCCGGGGTTATCTTGATCAGAGTCACAGGGTCCCGGGGAAGGGGCACAGAGTGCCCATGAGCTCACTGTAACACAGTAGTATCTCTCTTCAGTGAAATGTATTTATTGTATTATATCCCAAAGGAAAATCACCATTTAGAATATTCAAAGAAGTTAAAACAATAACCGGAAAAACTTATCTTTTCAACTTTCTCAGCTAATGGGAAAAGAAAAAAAAGGGTGAGATTCTCCTCAAGCACAGTAATGATACCTTTTCCCATATTCAAATATCTGCTTGGTTTAGAAGTTTGATTCAACACATTTGAAATGTTATTGAGAAAGAAGCTTCTAACAAATGTCTGTGTTAACTCACTACAATTCCCCTGAGGAATTGCAAGGATAAGGAAGGACTGATGGCATTGCTTGCTAATGGGAAGCAGCAGAATTATGAAGAAAATTATCCTCTAGCATATCCAAAGGTAATTACCAAGAATATGCCGAATTTTATGCTGAGCATGAGAAGGACTTAAAGTACCACGTACAATTAAGGCAACAAGGAACAATATGGGGAAGCTCAAGACTTAGAAAAGCTGAAAGAGGGTTTGGAGGATTTTGCCAATGATAGCAGTGACCATGACAACAATGACCATGACAGCAATCCCAGCACCTCTGTCTAGTTGAAAACAAAATACAAGAATTATACAAAGATGAAGCTGAAAAAACAATTCAGAGAAGCAGTGGAACCTTGCCACTATTGAGCAACACAACTGATCTGTGTTAAAAGGTCATGGATTTAGTATGAAACAGGAAGATGCTGAAAGGGCCTGATGGAAATACAATACTGAACTCCTCTTCCATTCTTTCTTACCTACAGTGATCAAAGAGTTGTACTGCTGTTCTGGCAACACAGAATATCCAAGAAGTACAGAACTGCAGAAGATACTTGGTAGCTGTGATAATTCAGAAGAATTTGACCACCCGACGATCTCATTTGGCTTAAAATAAACTTAGTTTTAACATTTTTTCAAAACTCACAAACAGGATAGGTATTGGAAAAGGAAGCAATCTCTTGAGATTGCTACATGGTACCTATGGACTGAGGTCACCTTTTATAATGGGGACTTTTAAGTCAGAAGCTGAATTACTTGGTCTGAAAATGTTTTCATTATCATGGGTTTGGTCTAGGGATGATGTAATGTTAATGGACAGAGGAGCTGCCAACAAACATGAACTGTATTTACAGACTTGGCAATGACACACAATACCCTGAATGTGTGGCCCCAACCTCAAATGCTGTGAGACACTGCTCAAGTAACAGCACAGATAAGAAGGCACAGTTTTTCTGACAGAGAAACTGTAATAAAGAGCTGCAGGTAAAGTTTCTTGGCATTGCATTCATTTGGCAGTCCTTCTGATAAAATCCAATTAAATGCTTGTATTGAATTGTTCTCTCCTCGTTTTTCTTGTGCAGTGCCAATAGCCTTTGATCCAAACCACCTCCTCCAGCAAGACCCATTTTCTCCGGGGAATATGTGCATGTGGGAGGAACTGGGTTACTTCTCTCCAGTTCACAAATGGAAACAGCTCTGACTCAGTCTCATGGTAAATAAAAGCAGTGCTTTCCCTACCATAAGCAACTCTAATTTACATAAACAGGCTATCCTCTCCAACAAACTTACCAGTTCAGAAATGACAGAATACCATTCTGCTCCACCTTAGTCCAGAAAAAATGCTTTTATAAAAACTTGAACTGCCAAATTTTTACTTCAGTAGAGAAGTCCCTTGGGATAGGGGTGTAATCTGATTGAGATGATTAAGGCTCTGTGTACTGTCTAAAGAGGTAGGATCATCAAAAGAGAAATAACATCCCTTATATTTATTTTAAAAACTAAACAATGACTTGAAAGTAGAACTGGCCAGGGTGAAATCTAGGCAGTATCAAGCGTAGAGTGGTTTGCATACTTATAAAAATAGTCTGCAACACTCCTGGTCACTGAGTAGATCTGTGAAATTTGGAGGAAAAAATGTTCTCTTTGCAGATGGGGAAAATATCTGGAGCATGAACATGCCATTTCTCTGAAAGGTCCTGTACTGTTGGATCTCATTACAGATTTAAACTCTAAATCTTAACCACTTGATTAACCTCCTATTTGTAAGAAAAGAGTACAATTGTCTTTCAGTGTGCCACCTCAAGAAAAACAGCATAAAGAATAATTTTTTTCTCTCCCTTTTTTAAAGTTAGGTATGTTACAATCCTAGTGCCTTGCCCTGACTGCTGGATATATGGCTTTTATAGTATTGCCTTCACACTCATGTGTGGATGCAAATTTTGACCTCTCAATGTGCTCTAATTTTTTGACAACATGTAATAGAGGTATGAATTGGTCTTTATCTCATAACTACAATATTTTCATACAACCACAAAAAAAAAAAAAAAAAACATTTAAGAATTGCAGCTTTTGACTACAGACCACACAAAAACCATGTGGACAGCAGTTCCTCATCAGAAACTCAGAGGGAGAAAAGGCTGTGTGTGTTTGGGCAGGGAGGAAGAGAGAGAGGAAATAAGTCATAATAAAAATATTATCAAAAGCTTGATTAAATCAATACTACAGCTAACAAATCTAAACCAAAAATATAGAAGATCTAAACAGTCATCATGACCAGAGAAAAGGTTTCCTAACAGTGATATCCATAGAGACAGACATTCTCTAAAAAGGAAACTATCTTTCTGAGTTCCTTCCAGTTTAGATTCTTCAGAAATAGTTAGGGAGAAGTAGTGCCTCTCAGGAGTTCTCACAACAAAAAGGAAATAACAGTCCTACAAAAGAAAAGATTAAGTGCAAGTTCTCTCCAATATCCCTCAGAGTAAAGAAAGTCTTGACAAAAAAAAAAAACCACTCTGAAGTTTGAGTGATTACAATACCTTTGGGAAAAACTCCAGGGCTGATGTGGTGTCTTTATCACTAATGCACTACAGGTCAAGAGATAAGTATGGCATGACAACACCATACTGAATGTAACAACACTTTTTATGCAGAATTGCTGCTAATTCTACACATGGGCTCACAGCTACACTTCTAAATATGAGAGCATGTGGTCATGTCTGTGATAAACTGAAGTTAGGTGGCTTCCATCACTTCTAGGGACAGCTACATTAAGTTGAC